TAAGTTAAGTTAGGAATGCTATCTTATAAATAGGTCAAGTTAATCATAACTAACTTAAATCCTCTGACTCTGGAAGAACAGCAAGATGACTAATTTTAGTCTCATTTCTATCTGAAAACTGCATGTATTAAATTCACTAAAAGCAGTTATAAATAAAAGAGATCCTGTAATCTTTGAAACTAATATAATGGGTTTTGTTTAGTTTATCCTACTCCAGAAGGTTTAAATACAATTCCCATTATTCCCTCCCAAACAAGTAAAAGGTTTTTATGGTTTTTGTAGCCTACAAGGTACCTAATTGGGAATAACTGCCACCTACTATTTGAGTAGTTTCTATGAATTCAATTTCACACCAATCTCAAATAGTCACAATCTCTCCCCTGCCATCAATACTCATTGGAAATTAACCACTGAGAAAGGAGGCAAACCATAATTTGATATTTCAATGGGCAAATTTCCACATATTACACCAATGCATTATACCCTGAAAATTCCATAATCTGTGCCTAGCAGCATAAGGCTTTTGTTGGAACTGGCTTATTCTTGATATTTTCCCATAATCATTACCATATTTTTCTCTCTAAAGCCTATTTGATTAAGCACTCAAAAAGCTCTGCTAAAACATATGTTGTTGCTGTAGAGTCAAATGACCATTCTCTTGAACTCAAAACGAATAATTGAAAAGAATGGTTCACAATTGATTTCAGAGAAATTAAATGCTTTATACATACTTCAGCTATTTCTTTCCATTTGCCTTTTAAACTTTGCAGAAGGACTAATTTGGAAGATGCATGATTAATCACATTTTAAGGATAATTTGTATTATTATAAGACAAATAGCAGATAATGGTAGCACCCAGAGGATACCTGTCAAGTGGCAAGCTTTTGTTGTTTCAAGTGCTATATGAACCATAGTTTTCCGAGAGATGGGGCTTATAATAAATAGCCCATGATAATGACTGAATAGCTGTTTGTTGCTCAGTTAAGCTAGCTTTCAGGTCTTGCTTGAATTAATCACAGTAATTCGCTTATACAGTATTTTCTTTGACTGATAATCTATCCAGATTGCTGTGGCTTTTTACAAAAATGAGCACTTCCCAATAGGTCAGACATACATGCATGCATGCAAGTGAAACAGAATACTGTGAGAGAGCTTGGGTTTCATAGGGATAACAATTGTTATTTGTGTTCTCATTATTACGATATAGGAAAAATATATAGACTTATATCTGATCATACTTAGCTGTAGTATTTATAAGGCGCCTGTATAGTTCCTGTACAGTAATACATGTTATTGTAGTACACTAGATACACAATCATTTTGCTAGTCTTAGTAAAATAGTAGCACAATTAGAAATTACTGAGCAGGATGGCAACACATACAGTATGTCTGATGGGTTGTATTTGGCTTTATATGTGACTAGTGATGTAGGCCTGGGACAGGGGTAGGGAAGCATGGCCTATTATGCTGGCTCAGGAATTCTGGGAGTTGAAGTCCACAAGTCATAAAGGGGCCATCATTTCCCCACCGCTGGCCTAGGACATACAGTACTCTATTAAGGTTAATTTTTTTTAGAACTCTCTCTTCTTATTTGTTTGCAAAGAATCCCAATTTACTTTCTTGAATGTGTTTTTAATAAATACACATTTTCATAAAAACACTATTTTTCTATCCAAAATACTATTCAGCTACCACTCTTAAATGTTGTCAGTGAGGGTTGTCAGTCATCCAGGTGCAAGCTGAATCAATAACTGAATTTATTTTCTTGTTGAAATGTTTTGCTGCTTATCCAAGTAGTTTCTTCAATGTGTGCAAGTTGTTTAGGAGGAATCTGAGTAGGCATTTCTTATGCTGCTCTCTCATCAGTCCTCAGTAAGATTAAGACCACTTCACAGGTTCACCAGGGAGGCCAGACTTAATGACCCCTAAAATTTTTGGGAATTGGTACATTCCAACGACTCTCTGTTTACTACCCAGATTCCCCATACCAACTTGCTCAATAACTAACAAAATGTTTCAACCCAACAAAAAAATAAGTCCAGTTTCCATGACTCAACTTTGAGACCTTTTAATGTTGTTTCTCTACTAGTCACACAAAATATATGGGGACAAAAAAAATTCTGATTTTGAATTATCTTTTTTTTCTTCATTAAAAAGGAAAGAATTAAAGTTAAAAAATACAAAAAGCTCTGGAATTCAATAAGTTCATATACTATTTTGAGCATTATATTTTACTTCCTAGTTTAACGGGAAGACTTGTTTCTTACAAAGGAAAATAGCATTAGGTATGAATACATATCAGTAGGATGAACCTACATCAACAGTATGAACTTTTATACTTGACCATTTGAACCAACTTAGTTATTAGCTGATTATAAACTCAAAAATTGTTTAAGGACAGGAAAAAGGGATAATAAACCAGCCCTTGAAAAATCATACTTTGATTAATTAATCTCATTTTAATATCCCAACAACTATCAAACTGTTGTATAATATTCACATATTTTATCATAGAACATTGATAATTGTGAATCAACCAAAATAGTATATGAATATAATAACAGTTTATGTTCAAGTCCAGTCAGCTTTATAGCTGAAATAGCCTTAGTTTGTCTACTAAAATATTTCCATGAAACACCTTTACTGGTGAAGAAATAATTCCACATCATAATTTAAGCAGGCTAATATCTGATTAACCCTCTTTTTCACTAAAAAAAATAGCTGCCTTACCTTAAATATTTAAATTGTTACATACATTTAGTTTTGATTGCTGCATTGATCAGGTGATTGGACTCAGTGACATAAAAGATTCCTTCCATTCAGTAATTCTGTACTCAGTGCTGGTGGACATCAGAAAGAAGCCAAGATACTGGCCACTGACAAGCATTATGGGAGTTATTGGGAACTATATGGATTATTAAGAGGGAACCATTGGGAATCATTAAAATCTCAAGAGCAAGAATATGCATTTAGGCTGAACTGCAGAAACAGTAAACCTTTTTCCTCAAAAACTGAAATGAGAGCCTTTTGTGGATGTCAAGTATGTCTTGATAGCAGTAGGAAATTAAATGGAGAAAACAAAAAGGGGCTGTAAATTAAAACTGAGTCTGATGCTATTTGGATATGCAAAATACTTATATGCTTTTCCTATCAACATTGGGGTAAAACATGCAAATTACTATTGTGGAAAGGCATTTTTCTATATTTGGAACTGTGTAGGCCTTGATGTTGAGAAGACAAGCACTTCAGGGAATGATTTGGTTGTTGTAGAAATAGGCTGGTAAACAGAGACAACAACAACAAAAATCCTTCTCAAAGTACTCATTATTTGTGATTTTATACAGTTCCATATTTATGGGACTTGCTCAGTTGAGAATTATATAAGACTTGAGAGCATATCATTTATCCTTCAGACACAACTTATATTAGCTGTCCAAACTGCTTATGCATTCATGCACATGTTATCCCAAAACAGTCTGTTCCAGCGGAATTCAGTGCCGCTCAAGAAAGGAAGTCCTGATTTTTTTTCCCCCTCAAATAATCATCTTGAAATTAAAGTGGGGCAGGGAATATCAGACTGTTGTAATACCAATAAAGGAAAATACTTGTAGCTCAGGGCTGAAATGAGGGGTCCTTGGTGCTCTCTTGAGTTTGGTTGTTTTCTTGCAGACATTCCATTACCCAAACTAGGTAAACATCATCAGTGTTACTAAGGAGTGGGGTTTGCTCTCAGTTTATATTCTAGTGGCAACAACCAAGCTCAGAAAGCACCAAGGACCCCTCACTCTTGTATTAGGAGACAGAATAGAAGACAAGGAGGTAGGAGGAATAGATGACTGCAGATCTTGTTGCTAAAAGTCATGGGAACCTTTGAACATTAGCCATCATTTGAAAAGGAATGCTTGCCTTATGAATTTTAAATGTATTTGTAAGGCCTAAACTGAGCTTCCCTTCCCTTCCTTTCCCCTCCCTTTCGTCTTTTTTCCATCCATTCTTTTTCTAACATATCTAATCCTTCCCATTAGCCCATTTCTATCCTGTTGTTTTTCCTTATTTTTCCCCCTTGGAAATGCATTTATGTTTTTAAATGTACGTGTGTATTTCTGCAAGTGAAAATGGCTTGTGTATGAGGTTGATATATTCAGATGGAGGAAATCTTAGGGAATTTTAACCAATGGTTATACATATACTCATATAAAGATGGGTCATATGCACTTTTTATTGGAAGTGGGGTGGAGGAATGTCCAGATTTGAATTTGGTTCTGGGTTCGGTCCAGGTGGAATTGACATACTTGGGCTAACAAGAAGCAAATGGTAAGGATTACGTGGAGCGTTTGAGCTTATTTTTTCTCTGTAGTTCAGAATGGATGGGGATTCACTTAAATTTAAATTTGTCCTCCTTTCTGTTCCTTCTTACCAACTCTCCTGAGGAAATATAAAATAGTCAAAAGCAGGAAGATAACTGGAAATATTAAAACTCAACAAAATCAGTTGTGTTGTAAGCATGAATTTGATGCTCTCTAGAAATAAGCTTTAGAATTAAATTATTTATTAAATTAATAAATAAAAGCAAATTCCAAGTCTGATGTACGTACCAGCTACTTGGAACTGGTCAGTGAGAGAGGTTATTGTTTGCATAGACAAAAGATTAAAGCAGAAGACAGCATATATGATGGAGGTTGGTATCTGCCTGCTATCCAAACTCTCTGACATTTAACTGTATTTCACCTTTCTTCTAAAATTATAACTTGGGAGAAGTTTCTGTTCTGTCTAAGAAGGGGATTCGGATTAATATTATTTGTTTAGTAGTGAAATATTATTTACAAATTCTTAACAGGATTGATAGTTTTGCAAAGTCTGAATCATATTCACTGAGAGCGGAATAGTTTTCTTTTGTTGCCAGTGATATACCCAGCAAGACACAATAGACAAAATTGGGAATGCCTTTGGCTTACTAATAATAGAATGACATTTTTTTTTCTTTTTTGGGGAGGAACAGAAACAGAGAAGATAGGACTGGAAACTGGAAATGGGTTGCCGTCCTGGAAATTTAATGACCAGCTCTTTCCTTGTGATGTATGTGGAAAAGTGTTTGGCCGACAACAGACGTTGTCCCGACATCTCTCCCTGCACACGGGTAATATTTTGTTTCTAAAATAAGATAGGATAGAATTTGTTCTTTTTTCAGGGTACATTTCTTTGAAGGCGAATAAGAGTGAATAGAGCTGGAACCACTGCAGTGATCATAGGCAACTACTTAAAGCCATCATTAAAATAGATCCTTCTCCTCTTTCTGTGATTGTCTGGAAGAACCATGAAATAAGAATCAGTTACTGGAATATTCTAAATTAAATCCATCTATATAATAAAAACTGCCTGTTCCCACCCAGTTACAAATCTAAAGGGAAAAGAAAACCACATTTATAGAAGCAATCAGTTGTCTAGTAACAGAGGATAAGAGGTAGTTCTCATTTTTACAAATTCAATTGCTTAAGAACAGAAAGATGTCACCTTTTCTGTAGTCACCTCAGATCTCTGGAAATGTCCTCTACTTAGTTAAGGAAATAAATTTTAAAAAATTAATTGCCATTTTATCTTGATTACTATTTGATTTCTTTGTTAATATATTTGGTTTTAACCCTGACTTCAACTTTTAATGTAAACTGTAATAACTTTGGCTTTTATTTTAAATCATCAAGAGATTTTCAGTAATCACAAGCATAGGTTTAATAAATAATAACAAAATCAAACTATTTTTATGTTTTCAATTTTGCACTGAAAAAGCATTTGTTTATTTCTTCCCACAAATGAATGGAATCTGGAATCCATTTTCTGTTTCTGGTAGAAAATCTGGCCCCATTGGGTTATTACAATTGTAGATGTACATTCAAAACTCATATACCATTCTGTAATCATACAGAAATGTAATTATAACAAAATATATCGGAATAACTAGTATACATTATATTTGCAGGTGAAAAAGAATTGAATAAATGTACTAATGTTATCCAATTAAACTATAAGACTTTTTCTTCCACAAAGTATTATTTGTCTATAATAAAAAATATAATAGGAATAGAAAGTATGATCATTTTGTTTTGCATAGCTATGCTTCTTGAAGTATTCTGAAGGATTTCTTCTACAGTATACTTTCCCAGTCTGGTTCAATGTGATGTACTTGATTTGGGTCACTCTGGCAAAGAATCCTAGTTGGGGGTCCAGGAAATTGTCCACATTGGGAGAAACTGTTCTAGATCATTGCTTTGCACTTCGTATTTTGATAAAATTGCTTTGGTGTTTTAGCATGTCTGCACTTTTTAAATTGCAGAAAGAAATAGTATTTTAGTACACCTACTGTTTATTTTTTAAATGAAATCAAAGTAGCATATCCTTTTAAAGCCCAGGGAACTTCAGTTTAAACTTGTCTCATCTATTAATTGAAAGCTTCACAACTCTCTCAATGTCTGGACTTCAAAAAATCTAGATGGCCACAAGACAGCAGCAAAAACCTTTTTAAAAAAATAGCGACTTCTTTTTCTCACATATCCTGCAGCTGAGCCACTTCAGCTGCCAAGGGGCAGATACAACATTGCACAGATGCAAAAACTGATTGGTGCAAAGACCTTTATGTGGAAGTTCTGAATGGTGTTTTTTTTTTTGGAAATATAAACTTTATGTAAATATAAATATAAACTTTTATAAGAAAATTTAAGCAGGTATCCCTCCTTTTGGCTCACCTGGTTCAGCAACTCTTCATAATGATGGAAGCCCCAGGCTTCCATCTTGTATCAAGAGATGCATACAAGATGCATACATACTTATATCAAGAGATGCATACAAGAAACTTCAACTCAGTTTTTTTTTTAATATTTCTTTCCAGAAGAGAGAAAATATAAATGCCATTTGTGCCCATATGCTGCTAAGTGCCGTGCTAATCTGAACCAGCATCTGACTGTGCATTCTGTGAAGTTGGTGAGTACAGACACTGAGGACATTGTCAGCGCTGTCACATCTGAAGGCAATGATGGGAAGAAGCATCCTTATTACTACAGGTGAGGATCTTTGTGAAAACCAAACTTATAGCTCAGGTCTCAGTTTCTGTTTAGGCTTATAAAAGAGCAACCACCATACTATTTACATAAGGATAATGATGTGTTTATTATAGCTTGCAAAAAGGTTCAAATCAAAGTAATTACCATTTTACAGTAGAACATCACACTTTGTACATCCCAAAAAATGAAGTAAAATGAAACTATATTATTCTCTTCCTTAACTTGTGCTTTCCCACCTACTTCTTAAGCTACGTTATGTCCATATTTGTACGCTAGGACAAGCTTCATATTTTTTAGGATGTTCCGCAATAACAGATTGAAATGCCACATTTGTTAACCTAAGAATTGGTCTAGCAGGAACCGAAACCACTTTTGATATTAGTGAATTTTTGAACATCATAATTGTGTCTACTGGGTAAAATCTTGACTTTTGATCTTCTGAAAACGTCTGAATTAAACTAGGATATGAGCTATATTTTTTTCTAGTTATCTAAAATATGCTACAATACTTGCTCCTGAATAACTGCATTGTCTCATTTGTCTGCTGCACCTTCTATAAAGGTCTTGCCTGAAAGTCTGGGATGCAAATTGTGGGTCACTTGGAATTTATACCATGGGTCAGGGGTCTCCAACCTTGGCAACTTTAACACTTGTGGACTTCAACTCCCAGAATTCCTCAGTTGAAGTCCACAAGTCTTAAAGTTGCCAAGGTTGAGGACCCCTGCTATGGGGTAGTACCTTACTGAAAAGCCCCAGATCACAAACTGCCCAGTATTGCAAGAAGTAGCATGATGACATGAATGGATCCAAATAGCAATCTGCTGTATCCAAAAGGTTTTTAATCACTACTGCAGTTCCAAGTGGCCATCTCTGGATTAGCTGAGTGACTTGGCAATTGAGTATCTGGTCTGTTAATGTTCAGACAAATTGCAGGAAACATTGTAAAATGTGTCAGCTGTAGAAACAATGTTAGTGTAAATATACACGTGTTATCTTTTGAAACAAGACTCACTCAAGGCACCATAATCCAGTTAAATTAAACCATACAATTAGAACTTAAAAAATAATGATCATAACAATTAGCACTTAAAAAATAATGAAACAATAAAATCCAGCAGTAAGCAGAATTAAAAGAGATTACTAAAGAAAGCCTTATGTTCATTATCCAATTAAAGTATAGAGAGAGAGTTCTGGAAAGGGTTTTATAATTTGGCCATCCAAATAAAAGAGTCTGGTACACTGCTTAATGCACAGATCCAGACTATCCATCCTCAATATAGAAATTTATCGGATGACTTTGGGGTAAACACTGCCTCTAAAAGATTATGTGCTCCTAGAGAAATGGCAGAAAATAAATTTATTTTTCCTTATCCCGTGAACCATTCTGAGAGGCAATTTTCATGAGATGACTCCTAAAATTCCTTGGTTCAAGACTGTTTAGGCCAGCCATTTTCAACTTTCACCCAAATGCTAGACCACAATTTCTGTTCTCTCTATTGAGCGTGAAAATGGGGCTGCTGAGGGTTCTGATCCTTTGCAGCTGGAGTGCCAAATTATGGAAATGTGAAGCTTTAAACGCCAAATCAGTGCTATAAGAGAAGGAGTTGATTGCAAAATGTCCCTTACCGCTGTTTCTATTTGTGTATCTGGTTAAGCTTTTGCCTAATCAGGCAGAAAATGTTCCTGCACCCATTTTGGCTTGCTTGTATTAAGAATTCCAAACTTTTCTGTGTTAGATCCCAAGCTGACATTAGATATTTCCAAAGCTTGGGAATTGCTGTAAAGAGCAGAATGAGCTCCCCATTTGTCCACCTAGTAGGCTGACTGAACATCTTGGCAAGACTGCAGCACATCTTATTGCCCAAAGGAAATAGCTAGGTGATGTGCAGCATCTGGAACCTGTAGTTGTTAATTAACTTTATGATTATTTAGCATCATTATAGCATGTTCGGGATTGTTGCCTTGTGCCTGCTCTTAATCAGCTTGGCAAGGCTGTCCGTTCAGAAGCAGTTCAACAGACAAAAGAATAATATCCCAGTGCAATTTTAGCTGAACAGTTTGTAAAACCAGGAGCTGGTCAGGATGATTTTTTTTAAAAAAAAAAAAACCAATGTTCACTATATCACAGAGGATCCATAAAAGCATACTCTTTAATATTTCTAACTTTCTCCTGCCTCCAGTTGTCATGTGTGTGGATTTGAAACAGAGCTGAATGTCCAGTTTGTCAGTCATATGTCGCTTCATGTGGATAAAGAACAATGGATGTTTTCTATTTGCTGCACAGCCTGTGATTTTGTTACCATGGAAGAGGCAGAGATGAAGGCTCATGTTGCCACCAAGCATACAGGTGATAACCTCTCTCTGTGTCCAGGTTTGTCTCCTCCTGCTGCTTCTGTCCCACAACTCTACATCAGGGTTCACTGATGCCATTCCAGTTTGGTCCAGCCATTACAAAATTCTGATAGCCGCAATCTAAAATGGTGATTATGGCCAAATGGATTTTATATTCTTACTCATGTTGTCTTAGGCAAAAATGACATTGTGCATTATTTGGATTCTGTTCAGCCCTGTGTGAAGATTTTTTCAGAGCTAATTGCTGTCATTAGGTAGGAGAATGCAAGAATTCACTGAGCAGCTCTTCACACTTGCTTTGTAATATGGAATCTAGACTCTGTCCAGAAATTCTTTGCAAGAACAAATAGTAATCTTGTGTAGGTATGATTTCATGAGCACCTTGATTGTACACCATCATAAATAAAAATGTTAAAAATAACATAATGAACTACTTATGAAATACCTTCATGTCATGTCACCATCTGCATGATCTGTTGTATTAGTTTCCTATCATTTTCTCATTCTTCTGCCTGTAGCTTTGATCCTTCCCTGCTTCAATGTACATTTATGTTTTATTCCTAATATACATGCATTTTGACAACCAGTTTTGTTGTACATACTTGTGCTTCTATCCTAATACACATTTTCGTGGGAGTTTTTAGAACTAAGAACTGCATAACTAGATTTGGAAAAGTTCATATGTTGGAATATAACTGCATATAGTTTTGTCTCTAAATTTTGAAATGTGAACTACACAACCTCTATTAAAATACAAACCAAAATAAGGCTGCTTGCTAGACCAATACTTGCTTTCCTTCTTCTCAACTATGTTATCTGCAGAAAAATGCATTGCATTGAACTTGGAACACTGAACATAAGAAGGAAAACCACTCCTCAATGCCCTTTTTCCTCTTTCTTTTTTGTCAAGTAAAAACTCTTGCTTGTTTAAAATGGAACTCCTTTTTAAAGACAGTATCCTTCCCTTTACTTTTCTTCCTAAATAGTTTGGAGTTATAATTCAGACTGGAAATAGAAGACCCATCGACTAGATGTACTGCAAACACTATTATTTAATAAAGGCCTTTAGGCATTTTCAATGTTGGTGAAAAAGGATTTTGCCAGGCACAAACCACTTTGGTTAGGATGTTAATAGGTTCCACAGCTTAATTGCCCGTTGATTTTCATTTTGCGTAAGGAATAATGTAATATAATTTGTCCAATTATAATTATTTGAAAAATTAAAATAATTAGAATCCCAACATTGCATTAACACTCCAATTCCTGTGGGCAGTGCCTGGAAAAGTTAGTCATAAAGGGCTGTCATTGATCAAAGAAAAATGAAGTATTTTAACCCTACTTGGAACTCCAGATATGCATAAGGCAGAACAGAAAGAAACAAACTAGTACTTTTTTCTGCATTGAGGAGCAGGCAGATAAAGGAAATAGGTGAATATAGCAGTCCCTATGTTGTCAATGTGCCCCTCCCAAAGATCCTTCAGAAGTTGCCATGAAATTGTAATGCTTAATATGATAGGATTGGAAAAGTATTAAGCACTTTTAATCAACTTAAATGTATTTAAATAGTTGAGCTGTAATTGCAATCAGCTGTATGTTAATTAGATTTAGTTGTGACCCTGTTAACCTCTGTGTTCTGGCCTCCATTGTTTTTGGGAGGGCAGTCCCTGACATGTCACTCAAAGCCTTACTGCTTTAAAATAATTGTAAATTGGTACAAGTGGTACAAAAACATCATATATAGCTAACTATATTTTAAAATTCATCAGTGTAAAAATGCTACTAATGTAAGTGGGATACATAGAACTTGTTTGCTCTCTGGCTCTTCAGAAACAAGTTCAAGCTGCCTGTTGATCATCTTTGCCCCAGAAAGATGGGCACAAGATTATTAGAGGTGTCCATTTGGGTTTTAAATCTAGAATGAGATATACATTGGACATTAACCACCCCCACCCCCAAAAAGTTCTACTTAATTTCAGAAAGGAAATCATATTTAAAAAGATCAAATTTTCCTTTAGCTGTGTACACAATCGGCCCACATAACTGTGCTAAAATGACTCCAAGCAACTCCAAAGCATACTTGGCCAATATCTTGGCCAATATTCTCCGCAAGGAGAAGGGCGGGGTAAAAATATAATTAAATAAATAAATAAATAAATAAAATCTTAGGGGCAATGTTAAGTGTTTTATCAGGTGCTTCTGATTTTACCTGTTGGAAATTTAACTTCCTTAGCGGGGCTGGCTTTTACACTGACAATTCCAAAACAATATTGCTAACAAGTGAAATTATAAGAACTCATTAAAATCTAATAAGCATCTAAGGTGCAAGAAACGCCATATTCCTAAAATAAAGCATAAAAATTATATCAGTGTTATCCATGCAATAAATATTTCAAAGCTTAGTTTTAGATACCGTAGATGATAAGGTCAGCCTGGGGGGTCTGGCTACATTCTCCGGGTAGCTAGGCAACCCTCTCTCCCAAATCAGATTCAGCTTCATTCCCTTATATTAACTGTAAAATAAAGTTGTGTGAAAGCTTGTTGGTGCAAAACTGCAGGCTAATTAAACCTAACCCAACAGAAGCCATGTAACATAGAAGCATGCTATTAAACAGTTGATTTGGTCAACTTATTATTTTTTTACCTCCTTAAAATGCAAATGTCTTTTGCAGAGCACCTACTCTTCAACTTTCCAGCCGGTCAGTAGGAGGACATAAACCAGCATCTACCAATGTCCACCACCCATCCATAATCTGTTTGGTTTGGTATTTAAATCAATTGACCTTTTGCAGAATCTGTGGGAAGGATTGTAAAGATAAATTAAACCATTCCGTTTACTAAGAGAGACGAGAGTACAGTAATAGCTTGAAGTGCTTAATCTCAGTTAGAAGGAAATATAGTTGTACTCAGGAAATCTTAAATTTGTTTAGCTTAATTAATTAAAGAGAAGTCTGCATTTAACCCAATCAGCTTAGATTTGCACAGTGTAGGTAGGGATGCACAAAGAAAGATGCTTCTATGTATGGATCTCTGTGCTGAATTTCTTGCATGCTGATTTCAATAAGCAAGTTAACGTTTAGCATTGATTACTTTGATTTTTTTTTTGTAGGTGAAGAAAGGAAAACACCCAGTGATTCAACCAGTCCTTCTTCTTCTTCCTTGTCAGCACTTAGTGATTCTGCCAATAGTAAAGAAGATGCAGATATCAGCCCCAAGCCCAAGGGATCCAATAACCTGCTAGTTATTTCCGTAGTGCCTGGTAGTCAGACTCTATTAAATGCGGAAGAAAAATCAGAGAAAGGTAAAAAGTTGGCGAAGGAATGCAAAGTGACTCCATCCACTTTCTCAAGGCTGTCGTGCGTGACTTAGGTAATAGTGTCTGTAATTTCCTTCTGCAGGTTTTGAATGTGTTTTCTGTAACTTTGTCTGCAAAACAAAAACCATGTTTGAGCGCCATTTGCAAATCCACCTGATTACACGGATGTTTGAATGTGATGTGTGCCACAAGTTCATGAAGACTCCTGAGCAATTACTGGAGCACAAGAAATGCCATACTGTCCCCACTGGTGGGCTCAAGTAAGGAAAGCAAGTACACAAACTTTTACTGTGTTAAGTACCTTGATCACTGTGGAAGTAGAAACAGAGATACTTGCATGGGAGAACATAGAAATGTTGGGGGAGAGAAAGCCAGAGAGCTTATTATGAAGAACAAATTGAAGATGCTGTAAATCAGGAATAGGCAACATATGGCAATGTGTGACACTTCAGATGTTGCTGAATTATATCTCTCAACATCCCAAGGGAATATGGTTAATAGTGATGGTGGGAGTTATAGTTTAGTGCCATTAGAAATACCACGTGTTACCTAGCGGCTACTAGAAAACAAACTCATCTGGTTTCTTAGGTGCACTGATGCTGCACTAAACAAGAATGACAGTATTGAGTACTACTGATTTATTTTTTACCAACAGTGGCATAAATGTTTGGTGTCTCTGTAACTAAAATAGTTCCATAGGCTCAGACTGGTACTAATACATTTCCAGTTATATGAAAATTCTTAAACATTGTCTTATGATAATGACATTAACAGTTGCAAAACTAACTCTAATTCAAAGAAATATAGACAAATATACTAAATGGACTATTGCTGATATAAGTAAATATTATCTACTGCTGGTAGGTCTTCATGGTATGCTAACAGAGGTATGTTACATTACTGTGTATGTTACTGTGTTAGCTGGGAATTCTAGGATGAAGTGCTAGGAGGGTACTAGGTTGACTAATCCTGACTAATTTGATACTTTTTAACATCAGTTACCAATGATGGCTTCAAATTTATATTAGAAGTCCTTTAAGCTATTGTTTTCAGCCTAATAAAAACACAAATGCTACTGCCACACGGTAATCTGATTCTAAATGGAGTAGGCACATGCCATCAGTAGTAGCAGTTCACTGGATTAAAATATTAATATTCAATTATATGTTTATCAGATATGATTGGGAACAGGGTACTCTTGAATGCGTGAGCATGAATGCAGCCTTCTCTGATTCATTAAAGCAGCTGTATCTTTGTTGGCTACTTTTATGAATTACAAAGACTTTACTGCTTATCAAAACTTTCCTAATAGAATCAGAAGCATTGCACGGCCCACAGGTTTACATCTGTAGCATTTTAGAACTTTCACATGATAACTTATGGCAAAATATTTTCAGTATTTACTATTAAAAGTCACTAATAATTAATTTAATGCAAGTATTTCTGAGAAGTAAGTCTTCTCATATTTGTAAGTCTTACTCTATTCAACTAATAGTTGGGGCCTCACTAAATTTGTATTATTTATATTTTTATGTAATAGTAAGTATTTAAAGACTGCCCCAATTTGTACAGACTTTAGATAGCAAACCACAAATCAATATGCAATAAAATTTAAATTATCAATAATAATGGTAATAATAAATTGTCAGTGAGGTTTCTTGAACACCACTAATTCAAAAATATTTGAATTAGTGGTGTTCAAGAAACCTCACTGACAATTTATTATTACCATTATTATTGATAATAATGGTAATAATAAATTGTCAGTGAGGTTTCTTGAACACCACTAATTCAAAAATATTAATACTACTCAAAAGGAAGATATTTCCAAGTCTGTGGCTTTAGTTATGGATAATAGTAAACACACTGAAATTCTGTTGGTGTCAGCAGCAGATTAAGTACATACTTAACAGTTCTTTTGTACAATTATCCTACCCTGCCACCATTGGTACAGAAATATACAACCAATGATAATAGTACAATTTGCTATCACTGCAGAGCAGAGCCCTCTCAGTGGGATTTTTTTTACCACTTTTTATATTTATTGATATAAAAATATATCCTTTGGCCTTCTAGGACTCAGTGCAACCAACAACAATTCAATAAAATACAATAATTTCAAATAAAAAAGTGAATCTAGTAAAAGCAGACAGGTGTAGCTGATAAAAGAGTACATACCTCAAAAAGCAAACAACCTCTCGAAAAAGTGTTTTATCAAAAGCAGAAGGTTATTACACAAGCTCACTGCAGAGAAAGTCGAGGTGCCCAATCTTGGCAACTTTAAGACCAATCTTGGCAACTTTAAGCCCCAATCAGTGTGGCTTCTGGGAATTGAAGTCCACAAGTCTTAAAGCTGCCAAGGTTGGACACACCTGGTTTAAGTGTTTCCTCCAAAAGAGTTTCAGTGACTTTTAACTTCTTCCTCTAAAAGTTTAGAATTGTTCCTTTCAAGGTTTAGAATCAAACAGTGCCATGAAGCAGTCCTTTCATTGTGAAATATAGAGTACCGCTTTTAAAATTTCTCAAAAGCATTGAAATGATTAGCATCCCTGGATGAGATGACTGTCCCCTACACAGAAGCCAGAGAGTTCTCCCACACTCTTCTCCACTGGATTTGTAATAGTCCAGTGTTTCTCAACCTTGACAATTTTAAGGCATGTGGACTTCAACTCCCAGAATTCCACAGCCAGCAATGCTGGCTGTGGAATTCTGGGAGTTGAAGTCCACATGCCTTAAAATTGTCAAGGTTGAGAAACACTGTAATAGTCGCTAACAGCGTTTAGCATAGCCTGTGTAAATCACACCTTTTTGCAGAGGCAGGGACATAGCAAAAGTTTGGTTTCTCAAATGGAGTTGCAAAAACAAATGGCGTTACTAAAAACAGCACAGGCAAGCACTTTTCTTCTGCACACAGATGTTGTACAAGAGGAAAAGAATCACATGGCAAGATGGGTTGAATATTTAAGTACCCTCCAGAAACTGCCAGGAAATTGCAGGGGCATATTAAGAGCAATGGGAGCCTAGTCATGAGCAGGCATTTTTGGAGGGGGAGGGTGGTGTATGATCAAAGTCAGTATCAAGTTCAAAAAGTAGTTAATGCACCCTGTGAAATGGATTTATCTGCTGCTGAATCAGGGGTGACTATATGCAGACTGCAAGCAATTACTATTCCAGTTAGCCTACTTATCTCACTATCTATACTTTGCAAAAGTACTTGGGCTGCATTATCTGATGTGAATAAAGTTAAATCTACACTACTTTATGAAGTTTGAACAGTACATTTGAAGAGATTAAAATATTTTGACGTACAGAGAAAATATTTTACTGGAATATTGGGGAAAGTGGTAGGATGTTGCAATTGCTTATTATTTATCTTACTGCCTACCAGAGTCTCAATTTTTAGATTGTTCTCCTGAAAATAAGGTGCAACTTTAAAACTAACAAATATGCTTGAAGTGGGAGAACATTTTGCAGAAAAGATATGATCCAGGAATAATTTCTGGTCCTCATCCCTCTTGTCTTTAAATTGAAAAAATGTAGCGGATGAAAAGGGTTCATCCATCTACATCAGTGTTTCTCAACCTTGACAATTTTAAGGCATGTGGACTTCAACTCCCAGAATTCCACAGCCAGCAATGCTGGCTGTGGAATTCTGGGAGTTGAAGTCCACATGCCTTAAAATTGTCAAGGTTGAGAAACACTGATCTACATGAGTAGGTTCTGTGTGTTCTTATATTGTATTGTGATTTTGTATGTTCAGCAACATGAGTGAGTATCCCTTTGGGATGGAAGGCAAGGAGATCCTTTGGAGTGTGAAGAAGTGTAGTGTAGCCCCTCTCTTTTCTTGGGGTTTGCTGGAGTGATGTTTAGGAAGGCAGACAGATGCTGCACGTAAGCACTTTCCAATGCTCCTTTTTGCCTTTAAGTTTGAATTGCTGGACGTACCTATTAAGCAGCCCCAGAAAGTCCATGTCATACAAGAGGAGAAAATAATCGCTCCAGGCAGCACTGTAACAGAGAAAAAAAGATTAAACAAAATCTGGAATTTGAGCCCATGAGGAGCCCATGCCGCATGAGTCCTATGGCTCAACCAGCAGGTTGGAAGGAGTGGCAGATTGCGTCCCTGTTGTGGCCATCAGGATTGCCCTTTGTTTCTCCAGCTGCTATCAACCAGCAAGTCATAGAAGGCTTTTGCTGCTTCAGCACCTACTGTTTAATTTTAAATATTACTTGGCATTGCAAAAAAAAGCATCTGGCATTCTCCTGAAGTCTCTCTTACGAGCTCAGCCCACAGTTCACTTGCTATTTAATTTGAGTATTGCAATGGCATTTGCTTCTTTTGTGCCAAAGTCACTGAAACACAGCACTTTCTGGTCTTCTTGCCTGCAGTGGCTTATCTGGAAAAGAACTCTTTTCTCCAAGAGGCATTGAGGGGCAAGGTTACCATAGAAATAATTATATCATCCTATTGAGACAAATAATCTATAAGGCTTGTTTTTTAAGATAGAAGGAGAGAGGGGGCCTCTGTAAAGGTAAAAGATTTTAAAAGCAAGTTGGGAGATAGACATTGCAGTGGAGTAAACCTTAAGTAGCAATATGTTTCCTTGAGTTTGTACCAAACTCAGTAAATATTCATTTATGAATAAAACATTAATCATTAGACTAAAGCTAAATTAAAAGCTTCATTCATACTTTATATTCTGTTATATCAATATTATAATTTAAAATGTGTCTTTGGATAAGTCTTCCCATTTTCTGTGTAGTCAGTTGCTGAAAAACAAAAAAATGAGAATAGTTTGAAAATTGTTTTAAAAAAATTTGCAGGGTCAGTAGTTATGGTCAGGGCTTGTACTTTACCCCCTCCTCCCCCCCCCATGAAGCTTCCAAGGGATTTAGTCAGTGATATCATGATATGAACAACTGAAGTGTATCATAGCCCTTTCAGAGATTTAGGGAGGGCAGTGAAATATATAATCATCATTTTGTCCTAGTTTGATCATTTGGAACTTGACCCATTCGGGGCCCTATAGCAAGCTTTTTTTTCTCATCTGTCCCCCCAAAGTGGAGAAATCAGCCTGACTGTACAGAGAGAAGAGTGAAGTGAGTGGCTTAAATTTCTGCAAAACCTTAACCACCAAATTTGTCATCCCTAAACAAACTAAAAACATGCTATAGAAATCAACCCTGCCTACTCTGAGGGACACAAAAGGGTTCTGGGAACTCTATATGGGGTATAAGTTGCTCCCAGCTGATCTAGATCCATGTATCAATCTATATTTTGCATTTTGACAGGTGTCCCTTCTGCATTTATTCCACAAACCGTCCAGCAGCAATGGAATGCCATTTGAAAACCCACTACAAAATGGAGTACAAGTGCCGGATCTGCCAAGCAGTGAAAGCCAATCAGCTCGAGCTGGAAATGCACGTTCGAGAGCATCGCCTTGGCAACCACTACAAGTGCGATCAGTGTGGCTATCTTTCAAAGACTGCCAACAAGCTGATAGAGCATGTGCGTGTGCATACAGGGGAACGCCCTTTTCACTGTGACCAGTGCAGCTACAGCTGCAAACGCAAAGACAATCTCAACCTGCACAAGAAACTCAAGCATGCGCCCCGGCAGACCTTCAGCTGTGAAGAGTGCCTCTTCAAGACCACCCACCCATTTGTCTTCAGCCGCCATGTGAAGAAACATCAAAATGGTGACTGCTCTGAAGAGGAGAAAAAAGGGCAGGGTGTGAATTCTAAGGAAGCCAGGCCCCTGCTCGTGGCCAACAGTTCCCGCAGCCTCTTGTCCCCTCTCTCAGTGATGTCAGCCTCCCATGCTCTTCAGACAGTGGCCATGTCAGCCGCTCAAAGTGGCCGGGCAGAGCTGAGGTCCTTGACCGTAAACGGCACTTCCCTGTGCTTTGATAAATACCGGAACTCTGAGTTTGCCCACCTCATTCCCTTGACCATGTTTTTCCCAAAAAACCACTTTGAAATCACATTCCATCCGCCTCAATCACAGACCCTACGTTTGGATGACACTTCGCCAAAACACTCCTTCCTTGCCTATCTCGGACTAACAGAAAGAGCAGACGCTCTCTAGGACAGCCTCCTCTGTACCAAAAATCCTCCACACCGCACCCCGTCACACCCACCAGACTCCAAGCAGATTTTATTTCAAACCATAGATCCAAGAGTTTGGCTGCCCAACCAATTGTACAATATCTCATTAGGAGTAAGACACAGTAAAGAACATGGCTCCATGTGTCTCCTTAATACATGGCCTTGAAGGCTACTTTGTTAAACCTTCAGACAGATGACCCCCTCCTACATATTTCTACTTTCAGAGGCATGTTTCTGTACTCTCACCTGAGAAACGTTTTTGTCTCTTTTAAGCTGAACAAGAGTGTCCTTAATGGCAGTCAGCACTAGCTAAGATGACCCTTTGATGCATTTGGGTTGCGAATCTGAGCATTTCTAAAAAAAGAGTCTGTGTGCCATGGCATTGCTTTTGCACATCCTTTTGTACTGGCTTATTTAATATGAACTTAAGCTGCCTTATGCTGCATCAGACAGTCCATCAAGCCCAGTATTGTCTATTATGATTGACACCTCTTCTCCAGGGTCTCGGAGAGAAGTCATTTCTAGCAGCTGTTTCCTGAGATTTCTTAACTAGAGATGCTGGGGACTGAATCTGGGATCTTTATACGTACAAAGCATGTGCTCTACCACTGAGCTGTAGCCCCACCCCTGTGAAACATTGCAGTCGTCCATGCTTGCTCACCTTGCCTGCTTCTCTTTTATTGCTCAGTTATAGAATGTAAGAACGGCAATCAAGAAGAACTAGCATGGCAGTCAGTCCTGCTGGGAATTTGCTATGTTGCAGCGGCTAGGTTAGTCTCACATCTTAGAGTTTGATGGTCAGGGCAAAAGCAGAAGAGGGGAAATTACTTTAGCCTTGCAAGGTGATGCTATTTCATATGATAACTTTTTTCTTACATGGAGATATTCTGTATGGCCGTGCATGTACACATGTAATATGAAGGGCTTTTCTCTGTGTACACACTTGGGTAGCCAAGTTTTCATACCTGCTGCTCCGTGGATTTATTCATGTTCTGACCCTTCCCAGCAAAAAAACCCCACTCCTATTACCCTTGAAATAATACCGTCAATGTGATTATCTCTATGAATGAAAAAAGGTAATGTTTAAAGCAGTCCTGACTACATAACAGTGATGTATGAGAAGGCAACTAGATTTATAAACAACAACTGTGTTGCATACATGCCCCCAATTTGATTGTTTGGTTACATTCATGTGACTTGGTCCTTTTTAAAAATAATTTTGGCTACAAATACCCAATAGCAAGGTACATATGATAAGGCATTTGTTTTAGACTGGACATATACATTACATTTAAATTGCTGCTTTCCTTGGTCAGATAACGAGACAGAAACCTGATCATTTTGTCAACTCGCTTCTAGTCAACAAAGAAAAATATCTGATTCAAAAATAGCACTGTTCAAATTTGATGCAAGGCGACTACAGAAAAATATAGCAAACAGCCCTCAGACCACAAAATCACATCTACACATTCTCAGTTGGTCTGACTGCAGTGGTTAGCTTAGTTTGTGAGGGCAAGGATGCACATTTAGAAGTGATTAAACCCAGAAGGAATTTTTAAAAGGAAGGATTTCTTAAATTCTGGGCAGTAGGGCTCAGACTAAATAAAGGCAGGTTTTGCACAGTGGTTGAGTCTTGCACTAGTATGTTTCTCACTAGCAAAAAAAAAAAGTAAAAGTAAGAAACATATCAAAGATAATGTTTCTTTTTTTTACTGAAAAATATCGTGCAAGTTCTTTCAAATGGAAGGAAAAAAAGGTGCTGTTTAATGATAGAATTCTCTTTTATATGTCCAACTATTCAGCTATATTGGCAACTTTTGTGTTCTATCCCCTTCATGCTATTTGTATTTCTTTATAACATTTGCTAATGCTTACTCAAGTATACTCTTCTAGGAAGGTAACTTTATATTTTCTTAAGGCTCTTATTTTTAGTCATTAAAATGACATAAATATTGCACTTTATTGCAGTAGAAGCAAATGTTGCATTCCTAATGATTGATCTAAATATTAACATTTCCTAAGATTTTTTTTAAAAATGCCCATGCACTGAACATTTATTATAAATCACTACCATAAATTCCCTACTAAAGAAATATGGGGGAGGGGGGTATTCAAAGATTTTACAACAGAGAACAAGGAAGGGAAAAGCCTAAATACCAGCCATTTATAACACTGAAATAACAAGCATAGTCAAAATAATGAAAATTCACAAAGACGTTTAACCAATATAAGGACTTATTTGGCTAACTGTTATGGTAAAATAAGTCATTGTTCTAAATCTCCTAATAAATTTTGGGGCCCTGTTTATTGCACTAAATTCTGATAAAAATACTTTTTGAAATTTTGTAAACTATTCATCAAAAGGATACGGTTGGTGTAATGTAATGAACTAACTGTGACTATGCAATAGTCAGCATCACTTCTTGGAGCCTTCCTCAACCGTTCATTGTGCTGGCAGAGGCTGCTTGATGGTGGAAGCCCAATGCATGCTGAAGACATAAAATAGAGGAAGGTTGAGTTTCTGATCCTGTTCCCATGACACGATTAACCTCATCCATGTGCCAAGTTATACTGTTGAGGGGCCAGAAGACATTTTCTGCTTTTCCTTTTTTTCACCCTACATCAGAGTAAAGAAATAAATTTCAAGAAGAGTGTTCTTACCCATTTATTAGTCCTTTTTCTGCTATTCAGTCACAAGAGGGTAGAAACCAAATCAGCCATATAGATGGAATGTCTAGGGGGGTGGAAACCCTTCACAGGCCTCTCTAGAATTTCATCTCTATCCAAGGCAGGATCAGTGTTAATTAACCACATGGTCAGTGCCAACGTGGCTAACCAGAGGGATTTAATTTAGTTCTTTGCAAACTTGTTTATGGCTAGTTTTAAGTCCCTTGTGTCTGGTTGCTATCTCAGTTAATCCATAAGTTAACCCTGTTGGCCAGATAAGTGTCATGGGAAAAGGGTCATTAATAGTCCCCTCCTTTACTTGCTTCCAGTGATGCACATATTGGGGGATAGGGCTCCCGTACACCCTAACCTCATGAGTACTGAAGCCTGGCAACAGAAGACTAGTAAAGAATGGGGTGTGATCTGGGATGTGAAAGCTATACAGTACTCTTGTCACATGGGAGTAGAGCAGTAGCAGATCCAGCTGTGCAACAGTAATGGTGTTCTAATAGTACAAGTGGGATTTTGCAATAAATGAATGATCTGACCAATTTCTCTTACCTAGAATGTGGCTGCAACAGCATTGCCAAATAGTGAATGAAAGTTTGATCTCAATTATCTAATCCGACCTTCTCCAACCCAGTACCTTCCATGCATGTTGGATTACAGCTTTCCTCCATTCCAGACAGCATACTCTGGCCATGATTAAAGTTATGCATCAGTTCATGTGGAGGGTACCAGACTGAAGCAACCTAAGCTCTGGAGGTTTGGGAAACTTGTTTTGGGAGTAACCTTGAAGCAATTATTCAGCTACAGTTGCCATTAAAGGTATAAGCTTCATAAATCTCTTCGACTGATGATTTTGGAAGAAATAAAGTTAACACTCATTAGGGAGCATAATGATTTAGAATGCTAACAATTTGTGGCAAAAATAATAATGGAGATTTCTTCCTACAAGTGGCTACTGCAGTTAGTTACATATATTCAAAGTGTTTTAAGATAACTTCCAAAAAACCAGTGACCCTACAAAAAAGAAAAAAAAAGTATTGTGTCAGCAAGTAAGCTACGCATGCATAGGAATGTTATAAACATTTTTTCTGTAAACCAAATAGTGCAATATACATAGGGGATTTCAAGGAATGAGAGTATTATGATGCTATGAGCAATTTAATGCCTTGGGTTTAACCAGTTTCCTTTTGTATTTGTCATTGTAATGCTTAATATAATTGGGCAGCTTTATTTAGCACTTTGACCACTGAATTATTTCTGGAAAGTTAATTATGCATTGTTTCAGTTTAAGATGAAAAAAAAAAGAATTTGAGGTGTTTTTATTTTTTTAAGAAAAAATATACAATATTTATCAGCCCTTGCATACCCAAGAATTGGTTTGCTGTTTGACGCAAAAACTAGGAATGCTCACTAATATACCTTTTGCTTGTTAAAAAAAACTGTAATATTTGTACCAACAGTTCACTTTGTACCTGTTTTCCCCCACTATGCACTCCTTAAAATAGCCTGGCTTCTTGTTTTCAATTGGTTAGATTCTCAGCACCTTTCTTGCTTTCCCTTTTTCTTTTAACTTGCTGTATCATATTCAAATATCACACTGTCAAGGTTTGTGTACATTAATGGAAATTTGTAATGTATAAAGCTTTTTTGCATTATAAGGCTGTACAGGGTCATTTTGACAGTAATTAGTATATTTCTCTGCATCTTACGTTGCATTGCCAATTTCTAGTGTATCCAGTTTGGAAGTATATATAATCAAATTAAAACAAAGTTGTCTATACTCTGCCACCAGCTTTGTATTTCTTTCAGCATTGTTTTATTATTTACATGTATAGAGACTTATTCTACATTCCATAACAAAGTTGTACTTATGTTTCCAACTCAGATCAGTTGTTCAGATCAGAGTAGATTAGTGAAGGCTGTTGCTGTCTAGCTCTGTTATTTTTAATTTTATGCACAATTTAATCTATAAACTCCTTTTCTTTGAATGTCACTGGGCAGCAGAGGATATATGAGGGGGGTCAGAATAAAGCCGTAGAGAATATTATAACTAAATGACCAATGTTGCCTGCTGGTACCTCTTTTGGCACCTGTCCACCAACCTCTATTCCAGTGGTTCTCAACCTTTTTAATGCCGCGACCCCAACCGGTCGTAAGTTGAGGACTAAACCAGTCGTAAGTCGAGGACTAAACCGGTCGTAAGTCGAGGACTACCCAACCGGTCGTACGTCGAGGACTTTCCCTGCCTGGGAGCGCCGTGCATGCCTGGTTCTGCCCCCTGCGCCGGCCGAGGCGTAGCTGGCAAGCGGCAGAGACGGAGCAGGCCGACCACCAGCTGGCCCAGCTCAAGGGAGGTAAGGCACCCGCCGGAAA